ATTGCAGAAGGGTATGGATAGAATACACTTCCAGATGTTCCTAATAATTGGAAAATATTAGATATCTAAGCATAAATCGAGTAAATTATCTGTAAAGTAAGTTTTGATGCTATAGCCTGACTAGTGCTGTTATGGATACCACTACCACCACGATAACGATACCACAGTAACCGATAGTTCATTTGACGTTTTTCAACGTGGTAGTGTTATTGCGTTAGTTCATTTTATGCCATGTATCTGTGTCTCTATTCACTTTCGGTTAAACCAGAAGTAGTTAGCATCAATCACTATAGAAGTAGGTTAAAAAGAACATTGAAATGGTAAGGAATATTATGCTGAGTAACACTCGAGTTAGGAACGTTTCTACCGGGAGCATTTGCGTGTAATGAGCATTGTTAACTATGTAACTAGTTAATGACTTTAGCCTGTACTGTATGTTTGTATAAATAAATAAATTCGACACCGAATACTTTGCCTGAAATTTATAAAATCAAGTATAACTTCGACTACGTGAAGATAACGAGCTGAGCAAGTTTTTCGTATTTACAAAACGAACTTTGTCTAATAAAAAGTTTCATAGCTTTCGTACAGATGGCTACAGCAAAAAGTCGTTAAAAACAAAAAACAAAGATCTGCAACAAGTACATAGAAAAATTCGTAAGGTCTGCTGGTTCGTCCTGTAGCTAAGTTGGGAAATCGGCAGTATGCTGAAGGCGCTGGTTCGAATCGAGCCCGATCGAAGGAATGTTTTGTAATGTTCGATCTTTGTATTAATAATTATAATAAACTAGTGGAGTAATTCCATAAGAAATAAAATAAACTTGAAATAGAACTTTGCCTATAAGTGTAAGCAAGAAACTATGAAGTACCAAAACTCAAAGTTAAACTTAATTTCTTGCTTAAACTTAGGTCAAGTTCGTTTTGTAAATACGAAAAACTTGCTTGCAATCAATGCTCCGTCGAAGTCAAAGTTCGTTTTATAAATCTCAGCCTCGATGGTGTGTACATTTTTTTTATACAAAAAAGGTGCGCATTTAAACTCCATCGATGATGACGTCGAAGATGTAGTTTGCACACCTAAATAATGCCTATTCACTCGCCTTGAAAAAGTCCAAGTTATAACGGTCGGGGAATATGTCTGCAAACAGAGAATTCCACTCCGTAGCCGCTCGACATATAAATGTGGAAGCGATACACTTCGTGCGAATCCTGGGAATGTCCACAACATAGGGATTCCATCCTTCGTCTAGTCCTCCGATGATTGAAAGGGCGAGGCGGAATGAACTCATGCAATTCCATCGCACATTCTCCGTGACATATCCTGCAGAATACTGATAAGCAGGCAATTATAGGGTCGTGTTAAAGCTCTGCAGCTTCGCCTCTACTAAATCCGAGTCACCTATAAGCCTCTTGACACGATTGTCAATAGAATCCATAGTGGCCAGTTGGTATTTAGCAGAGTTATTCCATAAGTGGCAGTAGTACTCCATGCACGATCGGACTTGAGCTTGATACAGCTGAAGCCACTGTCCCGATGTGAAGTTAATGCAAGGTGCGGCAATATTTCATATTGGAAAGGACGCCGAGTTTGCTAGCATTTTTGGCCATGGATTCTATGTATCTGCCGAAGCTCAAATTTGACCACAGATTCATTACAAGCATTAACTGGAATGAATTGAGAACGTTGAGATGTGTTTGCGGGAGCGAACAGGTAAGAGCTCCCCTTACGCAGTCACTATCGCGTGTGATCAGGAGCGTACAGGAATGCGCGCGGGAAAGCCCGCACGCGCAGTCTCTTTCGTTCTGTTTAATGGCAAAATTGATTTTCGCACAAAAAATTAAATTTTAAGTAAACATAGTGAAAATTGGAAGGGATACGGGCTAAAACTTGAAAATTTGGATTTTGTAGTTTGCCTTGCGATGTCTACCTACTCCAAAGTAGTGAAATGTTAATATGGATATCTTCAACTTCCCTGATCCTTTCTTACAAAATAAATTGCCTTTCCATCTCAGAATCCGTTCTTCAACGAGAAATTTCCCTGTTTAATACTTATCACGAGGTTAAAAAAAAGTTAGAGTTAGGTTCAAATTGGTCTTCGTCTCTTACTTTTCCTTTCTATCTTCCCTCAATTATAATTCTATACGTAACAAAATTCCAAACATTTTCCCCCTTCTGTTCTCTATTGTGTTACATACTGCTTTTAAAACTAAAATAGTAACTATCAACATGACGCTGTTAGGGCGCCGCTATTAAAATATATTAGGTATACATACGAGTATTTATAGTTGTAAAAATAAAAGAACGTCGTTAAGCTTATCTAAAAGAAAAAGTAATGAATTAAAAAGAATAATAGCAAAACAAAAATTATAACATAACATAGAATAATGGCTTTTGCTGCAGTAGCAAAAGGGAGTAAATTGGAATAGTCACTCTACTAAATACTGCTTCAGGATATACCTAGGTACCTAGTAATATTTTTCGAACAAATGAGCCTTCAATTATTTGGTGAACAAATTATATTTAAATCGAAAACAAAAAAGGATATAATATAAGAAAGGAATGCTTGGTTCGCTGACTTGCAATTGTTGTTCGTTGGTGATAGCTCGCGAAATACCTATGCTCCCGGTATGTGAAGTCTCCTTATAGAGTATTTGCCATTAATCAATTATAGGTGCGGAACGTACAATGTTATCTATGTCACTAAAGCGCCATGGTTCCATTTATTATTATTTACTTACATTCTTATCGTTCTACACCTACAAAACAAGTTAATTTAATCTAATGTGGTTGGATTATTTTTTTATGTTACCAACTGAGGTGACAGGCTGAACAACATCGTGCGCCTGATGTCAAGCGACGCGCTTCTCCATCAAATCTTTAAATCGCAAAGATTTGTGAGTTACTGCCACTGAGCCTGTCATCCTATCCTTTGTTTAGACACACTGTGATAAATACCACAATCTATAAACATAAAAATAATTTTGTGATGGCGTTGATATCTTTTGGTGAAACAAAAGTTTATCTAACCCACGTTCATGTTTGTCTTGTGGTATCAGAAAGCACAGCTACTTACACGCATTTCTCATCCGTTACCATTTGGTCCACGCAAAATAAGCACCCAGCCCCCGTAGCATGGCCACGCATGATAGTCGCGACCCGCGCGATAAAATTGAAAAAAGCGCGCGCTATTGGCTGTTTCAATCAGATCTAATTTAGATATATCTATACTATCATGCGTAGCCATGCTACGGGGGCATATATGGAATTGCGTGGACGCCAGCCCGTTTCACCATACCATACTGTCTTCATCGTTTTGGTTCGTGTTTATAACTGTAGGTGGTCACTACAACAAAATATATTGCATTGCTATTACAATAGTGTTGTAACTGAAAATATGTTAAATTCGAGATTATACTATTGTTGAATGTAAAATTTGTACTAGGTACTTAACTCAAAATGTGTGAGCTAGTCCTGGACAAAACCAGCAGCAAAATTATTTTTTCCCTTTTATTTTTAAATATATTTGGCAAGTAGCAAATTGCTTAGATGTATCTATGTTATAAATGTTAACTTATATTTTTAAACTTTAACCATTGACTTACAAATAAATGGACGACGGGTCTAATACAAAAACCACGAAAAAAATGTCCCAAGTCAACCTATTCGAAATTTAAATTGTAATGTCATCGCAGTATAGCGCTGTCAGTCGAACAAATGAAGACTAAAGCGGAGTTTGGCGCTCTGTATGCGATTTTAGCGCCTTACAAGTGCGGACACTTTTTAGCGCGGACCCGACGTCCATATAATTGTAAGTCAATGACTTTAACATAATTTTTTAAATCTTTCACGGCAAGTGAGTAATTCGTTTTTCATCGGTTCTGAAAAAATACACTTTTGAGTCAATACAACATTGTATTAACAGTGCGATATATCTAAGCGTTTGGTAATTGCGTTTGAATATGTTTATACATACCGACCTACTTAAATGTAAGCTTTTACTTTGATAAAGTATACTATATGAGGTAACTAATATTAAATTTAATAATAAATTTAAATATGCACAGACAATATTGAATTTATAAAATTTTCTTGTTCCACTTAGATATGGTTGCCTGTACAAAAAAGTGAAATCTGCTCTTCTTGTAAGAATGAATTATCTTTTATTTATTACTTGTAGGTAATTTGTTTAAATTTTTCTTTTATTTTATATTTTTACGTTTTTTACGTTTTTTTAGCGTTTACCTATGTAGCGAAGTTGAACTGCTTTGTTTGCTGGTCATGCAGCTAGCCCAGTTCATTGATCCTTTCTTTGTAAAAACCATTTATTTGTTTAAATAATAAAAATATCTAGTCCTCAATCGCCATTGGTTCACAAGAACAAGCAAGCTGTGTGAACGATCCTGACCGCGCCATTGCCTTTGCGCAAAAAGAACCTTTAGGTGGTAACGCGTCGACTTTGCTGATAGTACTTAGGTGCTATGAGACGTACGTTCGTTAGTAAAACGTACGTTAGTAGTATGCCCTCGAGTAGGCTAGTATTAGGCTACGTTTGGTAATGCAAATAGGTACCTAAATACGCAACAGACTTTCCAAGTTGTTTTAGATTTAAAAACAAAACTATAAAATAATTAGATATTATTAATTACGTATAGGTACCTACTCATTATTTCATTTTAAAAACAATTTAAAAATCCGTATTAGATAATGTAAAACAATCTGTATAGGTTTTGCTGTACGATAACTCTCAGAGTTTTCAACGCGAGTATAAAAATGCCATTAGAATCCGACTTCATTAAGGCTATGTTAATTATTTTGATGTAATTAGGCAAATTAAAATGATAGCGCGCGGGGTCTGGGGCGGCAGGCGGCGGCGGGCGGCGGCGGCGCGGCACGGCGGTGGCGTCAACCAGGAGGGGCTGCTAGCATACAGACGGGGCGGTTCGGATACCGCCATTGGCGCACTGCGAAGCCGCCTTTCGTCGTCATCGCCCCTCCCGCTACATGCGCTAACACCCGCACATATCAGTTCCTCAGTCAGTCGCGATTGTTACTTTCTATGCGGCGTGTCTTCGCAGCGCGTATTTAACGGACGGTGGTGTTGTGACGGCGAGTGTGTGTGCAATGCGCGGACAGTGATCGAAGCATGGTGAACTACGTTAATCCGCTCGCCATGTACCAAGGCAAAGGCGGGCAATACGGCGCAGGCGGCTGGTACGGATGGCAACATCAGAACTTCGAGGAGCAACAGTGGTGTGCTTGGAATGGACCGCCGGCGGCGGGGGAATGGGCGCCTGATCCACATCACTTCCCAAAAAGAGAGCCGGGAGAAAGAGAAATTGGGGAGATGCCATCTCCTGCGAGAGGAGACCTGGCGAGTCCTGGAGAGAGTTCGCCGGGGTCGAGGCCGTCACAGCCGCCGGCACCACCGCGCTCGCCTTATGAATGGATGAAGAAACCCAACTACCAAACACAACCAAATCCAGGTTAATATCTTTATCTATTTAGCTAGGTAGACCTGTAGGACTTTCAACATTCCTGCTTAAGAGGCTTTTGTTTGAAAATATTAAAATTGGCGCCTGTTCAAAGTTATAATATTTGGTTTGATATATGTATCCATACGTATTTGTCAACATTTCATTCAATCGCCCGCTCGTTGACAAGAAGCTGAGTCATACGTAAATATCAAAGAGGATACTCTTATTGTGAATTGGTCATTGCACTCACTGTGCGACTAGCCAATTTAAGCTTTATTACAATTCCCAGTGGACACTCAGAACTGTCCTATATAATGACAATACGGCTGCATTTCTAAATTTTAACTTTAAAATATATTTTGTCTATATTATGTTTAAAATGGTGACGTAGATCGGTTGTGAATACAGTCTTTTATATTTTTATTAAAATCAAAACAATTATGATTCTATCTATATATACCTACCTACGTTATTTCTTGTCATTAATGTTTAACCAACGACTTGAATCATACTCCAAGCACGTGTGTACAGGTGCAGTATATAAAACTGTTTTGTCATTACATTTACACCATATATAGACATAATTAACTAAAATTATCATTTCCACAAAGGTACCTACAAAAAAGAGACACGATTTTGTTCTCTTATGTACATATAAATACTTAAGTAAACAAAAAAATTAGAAGAAATTTATAATGGCTCCATCGATTTCCACGATGATTCTGTGAATGTAAGAGTTGAAAAAGACATTTAGGTAGGTACGTTGGTGTGACTACTCTACGGTTGGATAACCAGAGAAAAAATAATTAAAATATACGATTACAAAGTAAAGAACGTAACAATTTATTGACAATTATATTACTTACTAAAACTAAAAATATATAATTATTTACTAAAACTAAAAAACGCAGGTAGTTTTTGTTTTGTTTATTTTTATAAATGTCATTAGACTGTTTCTGCCAACATTAAAGTATAGGTAATGAATTATGATCTCGTCCTTGTTTTCTTGGAAGTTGTAGATACCTACTTCCATTGTAGACGCTAGATTTAGATGTTATACGTCTATAAGGAAAATTGTTACGAAATAAAGCAATTTAAGTAAAACAAAAATATAACATCGTCAATATTACTTACATTGAAACTTCAACACACTAAAAACTTTAACTTTATAGGTAGCTCTCATAATTACCTAAGAACCTATATTCATTTATTCATCTTTATCTATTCATTTCGAATCCTACCTATATTGCTTAGGTACCTACTTATCTATCCATTTGAATACCTAGGTAATAAATCTAGACGTAGACTTATTCTCTGACTGCCATAAGTTTTGCTTTTTCAAGGCGAGAGTGTATAGGCACTATTTAGGTGTGCAAGCTTCGTCGTCGACTTCATCATTACTTACCATCAAATGTGATGGAGGTCAAATGCGTACTTATATTTATATATAAAATAATTGTACTTACCCTAGCTTTTTATTAAAAAAACTGACCTCAAAGTTCGTGGAATTACATCTATTTGCAAAGTTTTATTGAAATCGATTACTGGGAAGTGCGAGAAACTGGATTCATTCCCTAGTTTGCCGCCCTTAGAGGTGGAATATTTCCTTCAAATTTAAATGGGATCAATGCTGATATACCCTCTTTCTAAGAAAAAAGAATCATCAAAATCGGTTCACAAATGAGTTATCGCCGCAGTTATCGCGTAACATACATAAATACAAAAAACAGTCGAATAGAGAACCTCATCCTTTTTTAAGTCGGTTAAAAATAGAAACCAGAAGAAGAAAACCTAGTTCTACACGCATCATGTGAGAGAGCGAATAACAGAAATTTCGGTTCGTGCAGATGTTGCCTGCGTGAATCATAGTGGCGTATGAGCATTGTCAAGCTATAAATAGCTACTAATTAGCAATTAAGAATTTACTTAGTAAAATAATACACCCTTTTATGACTTATCCAATGTTATAAATATTAAGCGGTTACACTAAGTTACAAGCTAAAATAGATATATTAGTTTCGTTATAAAATAAGTATAATAATTTTATTAAATTTTTGACCGCCACTAACAAAAACTAATTTGGTTCCCTAGACGCCAAGACTAGTGATGTGAAATGTTATGAATTCAATTCTCCTAAGTCAAAGAAGAACATAACTGAACATAAAATGCAACTATGAAGTCATACTTATCTAGAATACCTATACAAATAACACATGGAATATCTTAATATAATTTATTAGTTCTTTTCAATTGAGAATGAAAGGGCTTGATTGACGCTTTAAGGCGTGTCGTTGGTGTATCAACCAAGTAAATGTAAGACGCTTTATAGCGTCCATGGCGATCAAAGAGTTAATATAACTTTTTTTAAGACGTCAAGCGACTGACGGACGGGACGAACAAGTCGTGCGCCTATCCATAAGGGCGCATTTACAATAGGTCGCCTGCCGACTTTCTACTTCTACTTCGACTACTTCGTCTGTCGAAGGCGACGCAGTCGACTCGCCATTTACGCCGAGTCGTCTGTCGCTGTCATCGGACTACTTCGCCTTACCGAAGGCGACGCACCCTGTCAGCTCGGCTGCCTTCGTCTGCAAACTACTGTCGTCTGACGACTCACTATTTACTCCAAGTAGTTTGCCGCCTGCCTTCAGCGGGCAAGCGAAGGTCGCCTGACGACTTGGTGTAAATATGCAAATAGCTGCTGTTGCATTGCCACTCAGAGTTTTAAATGGCAAAGATGTGAGGTGCACTTCACTGCGTCCGTCACACTGAGACTTAAGTAGACAAGTCCCATGTGCCTGTAATTTACCAGCACCTATACGTTTCGAAACCGGAATGCAGTAATGCTCATATTCTGTTATTGCTGTTTGACGGCAGAAAAAGGTAAGGTGAGAGTACTCTTTTAACTTGATTAGCATAATTATATTTCAATTTTAAACGGTCGTAATACAGTGAAATTACGGTCTTTTAATTTTTAGAAATGATATTGCCGCCGGAATGGGTAGATTCATTCATTAGTCATTTTTTACATTTTATTATTCATTTATTTAAGGTAACAAATAATTAATAAACTCAACTCGTAATATCCATAAACTTAAAATTAGTTAGTGTAAAACAGCAACTACAAAAACCTGCCAATTTTTTCTTTCTTATTTATTAATTTATTTCAAAAGTGAATAAATACTCTAATAATGTTTGTCTATGAAATTTAATACATAAAATTTCTATTCATAACATTGACTTATTGTAAGTCAATGATTCTTAATAAAAACATCATACTGGGCCACAGCTATTACACAATATACCGACGCCGGAAAGCGATCTTGTCGTATCTCGAAAAATAGGACGTTACACCAGGGCCGAAAAACTGTCTCAAAAAATTATATCTCTTTAATTTGAATTAGTAGAAGGTCAATTTTAAAGTATGATCATCATACTTCAAAATTGATTGAATCTTTCTACTAATTCAAATTAAAGAGAAATAATTTTTGAGATAGTTTTTCGGTCCTGGTGTAACGTCCTATTTTTCGAGGTACGACAATTTGGCACACAACATTCAGTACTCAATAATTTTATTGCTCTCCTTTAGAATACATCCTACAATAATTTTAAGGACATTACAGGCCCAGTAGGCTTAACAATAGTTGTAGCTTAAAATATGTACCTTTACAGCTACCAGTCCTGGCGAGAGATGTCTGATCTTTGTCTGATTTGATATTTGTATTGTATGATATTTGTATTAATAATTATAACTAACTAGTGGAGTAATTTCACAAAAAAATATGCACTTTTTCATACGAATGAACCAATTTTGAAAACATTTATGCCACTCCTCCGTTACAATCTCAGAAATATGTTTTTCATACCTTCGACAGCCTCTTCAGGTGATGAAAAGCGTTGACCGCGTAACTGGTTCTTAATTTTTGGAAATAAGTAAAAGTCACAAGGAGCCAGGTCGGAACTGTACACGGGATGGCTCATAAGGTCAACGTTGTTCACCTTCAAAAATTCATTTGTCTGTCTGGCCGTGTGAGAACTGACATGATCGTGGTGCACCATGATAAGGCGTTTACGGTTATTTTTACGGAGTTTGTCAATAACTTCCGGCAAACAAATTTTCGTGTACCAATCACTGCTCACGGTACAATGATTCTCCAGAGCTCCAGTAGCCACGTATACAGTTTTTTTTTAAAAAGAAGCAATCATCTTAGAGGCACTTTGCACGCGCGCCTATTTGGTTGGTTTCGCTCATCTTGAAAGACCCACACGCTCGATTGCTGCTTTGTTTTGGGATCGTAACTATAAATTTATGTTTCGTCACCTGTTACTATGTCCCACACCAAATTTGGTGCCTCTTTGTTGAATCTGGTAAGCATGGCATTGCAACAAGTGACGCGATCCGTTTTTTGAGCCTTAGTCAAATTGTGTGGGATCCACCGAGATCACAGCTTTTTTACACCCAAATGTTTGTGTAGTAGTGTTTGTATTTGACTCATGCCTGTGCCTAAAGATACCCGAATCTCGTGGTCTGTCACATGCCTGTCTGTTTTGATCATACGGCGCACAGCATCGATGTTTTTGTTGTTCACAGCAGTGGACGGGCGACTATCACGAAATACGCCACTGAGATTCACACGACCGCGTTTGAATTCTGCAAACCAGCTATAAATAATCTTGCATGGTGCTTCATCGCCAAAAGCAGTTTGAAGCCGAGCGAAGCTCCGCTGAGCTGTTACATTGCACTTACTGTAGACAAGCAATTTCTAAAATAACGCCACAGTGTAAAAACAAGTGACAGTCAAACTGTGTTCTACAGCCAAAGAGTTCCATTTTCAATTGTTGTAATTAGTAAAGTAAATAAGTAAATATTGTTTATATGTAAGTGGCCAGTTCCGGAAACTTATAGTGCGCCCTCTGTATTACCTGGTTTATTATCATAAGTACATTTACGAGTCCGTCATGCCTCGGTTTCTTTAGCCCCCGTTTTGTTTGCACCCGGTTCAGGTTAG